TTTTTTTTCCACAACCAGGGAATGTTTTCAGGCTCTCTCCATTAAGAATAATGTTGGCTGTTGGTTTCTCATGTATGCCCTTTATCATGTTGAGGAATTTCCCTTCTATTCCTGTTTTTCTGAGAGTTTTTATCAGGAATGGGTGTTAGATTTTATCAAATGCCTTTTCTGCTTTGATTGATATGATCATGTGGTTCTTTTCCTTTATTTTACATGTGTGATGGATGATGTTGATTGTTTTTCTAATGTTAAATCATCCTTGCATACCTGGTATGAATCCCACTTTGTCATGATGTATTATTATTTTTTATATGTTATTGGAGTCTATTGGCTAGGCTTTTATTGAAGATTTTTGCATCTAAATTCATAAGGGATATTGGTCTGTAGTTTTCCTTTCTAGTGGTGTCTTTGGCTTCTTTTGGTATCAGGGTTATTATACTTGGCTGGCGGTTCAAACCCACCAGCCACTCCTCGGAAGGAAGATGGGGCAATCTACTTCTATAGTGATACCACCTCAGAAACCCAAAGAGGGGTCACTGTGAGTCAGATCCGACTCAATGGCACATAACAACAGCAACAACAACATACTTGCTTCATAAAATGTGGGAGGATTCCATCCTTTTCTATGTTCTGGAATAGTTTGAGTAGGATTGGTGTCAGCTCTTCCCTGAATGATTGGTAGAACTCTCCAGTAAGACCATCTGGGCCAGGACTTTTTTTCTGTTGCTAATTTTTTTATGACCTGTTCAGTTTCTTCTTTTGTTAAGGATCTGTTCAGAGTTTCTACTTCACTCCGTGTTAGTTTAGGTGAGTAATGTGTTTCTAGAAATCTATCCATTTCTTCTAGGTTTTCAAATTTGTTGGAGAACAATTCTTCATAGTGTCCTGATATTATTCTTTTTCATTTCTGTTGGTTGCTGTGACATCACTCATTCCATTTCTTATTCAAGTTATTTGCATCTCCTCCTTGTTTTCCTTTGTTAAGTTTGCTAGTGGTTTGTCAATTTATTAATCTTTTCAAAGATTGATTTTTTCTATTGTCTTTCTAGTTTCTGCTTCATTTATTTTTACTCAAATCATTATTATTATTATTATTATTATTATTGCTGCTGCTCTTTTTCTAATTGTTGGTGACACTGGGTTAAAGTGTTGACTTTGGCTCTTTCTTCCTTTTTGACGTGTGCATCTATTGCTATAAATTGCACTCTGATTATTGCTTTTGCTGTG